TTGGTAGTAGGCATTTTTGCGGCAACTAACACGTCGCCCGCGTAGGTGATCCAACAGTTTGGCCGCCGTGCCCGACGATGTCCATCGTGTGCTCCACAGAAAGATGAAGCAAGTGCGGTGACTTCGCGTGAATTAGGTTATAGTGAGCGTGGACTTACACAGCATCTACTGCACCCCCTGCTCCTCCCCACCTGGGCCCTGTGTCGAGACATTGTCAAGAAGACGGGGGGGGGGGCGCAGGTGACTGGCACGGCCGAGTCCGCACCTAGGCGTACAACCGGGGCAATACAGTAGCACCTGGTCAGGACAGTTGGTTACGCAAAGGCAGATGGAGCCAAAATGAACAAGAGTCCCAAATACCACAGAATCGCCACTCCTTTTCGCTTGAGCGATGGTTGAGCAAATCACATTGAAAGTTCTGTGGCCCCATAGGTAGCTAAATAGTAAAAGGACTTGATGACACCAAAAATTGCTACAAGGACTATAGACCTCACTTACTCCACAACGAGCACGCCATAACAATATTGGAGTCAGCTGTGTCGAAAGTTAAATATTCCCGGTCGCAAATGACAGGAAGCTAGACTATCAGTCAAACCGGAAGTGCAAATCTCAGCCGGTCGAAAAGATACAAACTCATTCTACTATTAAACTAAAGTCTCACACCGCCCAGGTCGAGGACCGCGATGAGACCAGCTGAGAGGGGTAATTAGACCCTTCCAGCCTCTTGTCGGCGCCTGTACTTCTCTATTATTAGTGGCTCGTCAACATGTGACCGCTTGTCGAAGGCAAAACTAAAGACTTGCACTACGTCCTTAATGCGGGTCAGACCGATTACTGTCTTCCCTACTTGATAGTGAAGATTCCCGACCATAGTCAAAAGACTGTAAATATGACTCGAGCGGGGGTGGGTTAAGTTGAATTACCAAATTAACGCGGGTCCCTAAATCGGGTCGGCCAAGTCCCTTCCGATCAATCATCACCATCAGGTCGACGTTAGCTTCATGGTAAAATGGAGGGTAAGATGTGGTTTGGTAGCCCCACCTGATGGACACAATACTATTGTGGTTGGGGTTAAGGGTTACGGTTAGTAGTAAGAGGCCATGATTACGGTTGGAGGTTAGGGTGTGGGATAAGGGATTGTACTTAGGAGTTAGCGTAACCATTTCTCAGCCATTCAAAGTACAACCGCCCATTCCCAATAACTTTGCATTTGCAAACTACTACTTGACCTCGTTGCCTGTGCGTTCCCCCGCCCTTCCCGTAAAAACCCCGATTATCACCGGTCCCGTATTAGAGGTGAATGGGGTTTGTTTACTTCAGGTTGTACTACCAAACCACATCCGACCAAATGGATTACCAGTATTCCACCTGGCAATTGGGCGAGGTGGGTGAACGGCACTCGTAAGTGTCCGCAGACTTTCAACCCTGACTGACGGGACATCAGCTTCTTGGCTCGAATGGGGTGTATCGGGCAGCCATCATGACCGGTCTGGCGTCATTAAGACCTCGCTGCCTCAAGGTCGTCCACCATTTTGCAGTGAGCCGTTCCAGACGCGCTGACCAGAAATCACAGGACCGACAGCTCGGACATACCTGCGTCCGCACAACCGCAGTTG